CACACACACACACACACACTCATGCGCACTTTTCAGGACATTTAAATGTTATTCCAGGAGTCTGGCTGTGTAGTGATAGGGACCAGCCTATCCTGATGGTGTTTAATGCCCATTTTTTTTTTAAGTGAAAGCAAGTTTATTTAGAGCGATACACATTCCATAGACAATGCGGTCCAGTTTCAGAAGGGAGGTGACCCCTTTAATGCTTATTGAATATGCGCTGTGACCCTTGGGGCATAGCAGGCACCTGGTCATTGTCGTACAAGTTGGAGCTGATGGGAGAAACCTCCCTGGTGACGGACACTGCATCCTTGGCTGTAAGCCCAAACCCCGAGGCTGTCTCTGTAGGTGCTGTCAGAGGTGCTGGAGCCCGAAAGACCTTGGCTTGCTTGGCTATTTTTAGAGGTCTGAGAGGAGGGTAAGTAGGTAGGAACTTCAAGAGTTCTGAACCTCATTAGGAAATCCTGGTTATATTTGTCAACTATTTGGCTCTGTTTCAGTTTCCAGAGGTGAGAGCCAGAATGGAAACTCACTTAGCATGATAGATTTTATGCTTTGTACAGCCCCCTGGAATGTCTAGAAATACTTTTTGACCCTGGAAGAATTGGAGCCATGATCAGGATTCCTTGTGTAAAACTCCTTAAATAGGTTAGATTTGGGGTTTTAGGGAAATTTATGCACATCTCTGCTTTCTGTAGGGTACTCGTTAAGCTAATTGCTACTTGCATGACGGGTATAGTCATCGGTTCTGACACCAAGATGAGGGTGAACTGTCTTACCCTTTGTTCATATAACTTTCCTTAGTGTGAAATGAAATGTGGGCTGTATATGTGTAGAACATGTGGGCATATAAATTAGGACCAGAATATAATACTTTGTTTTCTGGTTTCATCTGGTAAATCTTAGGCTACTGCTGCTCAGTATTTTTGCCACTCTGGGCTGTGAGGGATGTCCCATTTCTATCATTAAACAGCGGCTCAGTGTGGCAGTGCTTTTCTGCGAGGGATGGGGTCTTTCGGGGCATCCTGGGGCAGCAGTGGGAGAGTGAGGAGGTAGATGTGATGATTCTGACTTCCGTAACACACACACTCTCTCTCCTAATCCAGAATCAATTGCCTTAGACCAAAGAATGTTGTAACCTTTAACTTTTATCTCAATACCCCGGAGGGAAAAATACCCGATGAGACCTTGGTTTCATCTAATTAGCATGTCTCCTCTCCGTTTTCTGCTGTTGGGTTGCAGATAAATATGTGTGTGACAGGTAAGCACTGACTTGTGGGCAAGACAGACAGCTGGTTCCTCCCGTTACAGGGAAAGGCCCAGGTTTGAAGGTGGAGGCAAGGACCGGACACATTGCTGGGGAACGTGAGTGACCCATTTCACCAAAAGTAGGTGGTGTATTCTGGAATTGGCTTTTGTTTCCTTTTATTAACATCTTTCTAAGTTAGTTTAGTGGTTATTTAATTTTTTTTTGGAATCCTTTTTGTTTGTTACAGCGAAGATGTCGGCTTATTTATAGGAATTACTTGAAGCCAGAGTCATGGTGGATGTAGGCAAGTGGCCAATCTTCACTCTGCTCTCGCCTCAAGAAATTGCGTCTATTCGGAAGGCTTGTGTCTTTGGCACCTCAGCCAACGAGGCGCTGTATGTTACTGACAACGATGAGGTAAGAATCTCTCAAAACCCGGAGTTTAATTTGAGGGCTTGTTTTGGGATTGAGCCTTCAAGTGTGCAGTTTGAAGACTGAGAAAAGGTGGGACATAAAGAGAACCTGAAATCCGAGAAGGCAGTGTCTTGGATAGAGTTTGTCTTTTTTTCCCATTTCTTGGTTTACTGCCCCTCGTCCCTGCTACTCTGAGTGTCATTATGTAGCCAAATATTCTAAACCGTTAAGTCGTGTCAGCAGAGGTTGAATTTTTCTTCACAGCCACGTCAGTCTCTTCCTTCCTACTGAGCTGTCAAACTGAGATTAAGTGTGTAGGACTTTCCGAGTGGAGAAGGGAGCCTTTGTGTGACTTCAGGCCGAGTGACTCAGACAGAGCTGTTTGTTTCCCAGGTCTTTGTGTTTGGACTGAACTACAGTAACTGTCTAGGAACTGGAGATAACCAGAGTACACTGGTACCCAAAAAGCTGGAAGCCCTGTGTGGAAAGAAGATTAAGAGCCTTAGTTATGGGAGTGGACCACATGTTCTTCTCAGCACTGAAGGTAAGGTGGGAGCAAGTCCAGCTTCTCAGTTTGTGGGTAATTGAGCAGTGAATTCTAAGCCAAGGCGTGGCAGGGCTGTGTCAGATAGTGAATTTCGAATTATTCGTTCCTCAATTTTTGAGGGGAAGTACATAAAGCACACAAAAGTTAAACACTTCAGGCTCCCTCTGGAGCAGGCATAGGATGACTTGCAAACTTCTGAGGTTTTAGACGACGTATGTAAAGTTGTGGAAGACGAGCTAAGCAAACAAAGTGGTCCTTCAGCCTAATTTCTCAGCGTGTTTGTCGTAGCAAGGCAATGCCCAGGTTATACTTGGTATATTTTTATAAACACAGGTGATACTGGTTTTCCTTTCTTTGTGTAATTTCTGAATCTTGAATTCAAGAAGTCTCAGCTCACACCCTGGTGTTCCTATGGGTGCCACGTGCAGAGGACGTGGAGTGGATTCTCCTTTTCCTCTGCCTCCTCACCATCACTGAGGGTCCTCTGCGTCCTTCCTTGGGGATGTATGTGCACTGTGGGCACCCAGAACTCTCTGAAAATCTGCTCTGTGAGGCCCAGCTTCTTCCCTGTATGTTGTAGGCGCATTAGTTCTTGCTCCGTCTCTAGCTCTTTGTTGGGTAAACTGCGTATAGGAGAGCTGGCTTCGCTGCCTTTCTGTCTCTAGTCTGGGGAATCATAGCTTCCTTGGATGTGACTGTGGGTCTTAGTATTGAGCTTTGTAATTGCCTGTAACTCGCATCTGAATCCTCTCCAAGTTCTCTGCATCTTTCTCAAGCTGTGAGATACAGATCTGAGCGTGATTGTTGAGTAAGAGCGTAACTGGTATGGAGCATAATGAGGTGATTATCTGGCTTCCGCCTTGTATAACCATGCCTCCTGGCGTCACACAGGCTCTTCCAGGCAGTTGCTGCTTTGCTGACTGGTTCAGCTTGTCACCCGTCATGACCTAATGATTTAATGTTTTCATAACACGTGTTAATTTTAACTAGGCACTGATTTCTGACTATAAAATGCTGAAGCAGTTTTTTTTTAGAGCAAACATACTAAAACATATACATTCAAATTCTTGGTTTTCTTCCAAGTGGTGACCTTGGGAAACTATAACTCTTCTTTTGGAGTTATTTTCAGAGTCTAGATTATACAGTTTTAACCATCTTGAGTGTTACAATTAAGATGTAAATAAACATAAAACATACAAATATAAAATAAGTGGTTTTCTTGTGGGCGTAGTCTTTTTGTTTTTAATTCCATTCTGATAGAATACATTTTACACAACATACTTTAAACATGCTGTACATCATGTATCATGTATGCATGATACATATGTGTGTATTACGCGTTAGAACAGATAGTCATGATTTAAAAAAATTTAACACTTTAAGCCATCAAATAGTTTATGGCTTTTAGTAAAAAAAGCAGAAGGGCTCTGCCTCACCCCTCTTCACTCTTAGAAATTGCTCTTCAGAAGGAATGATTTTTAACTCCTTCAGATGTTTCTTGTATTTAATCTCGTATTTTTATGCCTGTGTTGCTATTTCTGAATTTTCAGTTTTAGATACTATCATTTGACTTTTGTAATGGAGATAGAATTCAGCTCCCTTTCTCTTACCTTCCCTCCCCTTACCCCATCACTGTTAGTGATATCACCACCATTTTGGTTAAATCAGTGTTCACATTACTAGGACTCTATAAGGATTATTTATAGCTGAGCCGTCTCCTTTCTTGTACTGCTGTTTATTTTCTGAGCATTTCTAGGCATCCATCATTAACGTGCGCCCACGCTCTTCCATCGCACAGTATTGCTTCTCAGCGTCCCTGAGCACACTGGGTCATCTCTGGAGGCCTCTGTCCCCCTGCTCCAGCCTGGGCTGGTCACTCTAGGCTCCCGCACAGCTGTCGGCTAGAACTTCATTTCACCTGCATCCTGGAAGTCCTTTCACCTTTGTCCTTTCTGGATCCCCTATTTTTTGTGTCCCGTGTCTTTCTCCTTGGATTATACCCTCACTTGGGCAAAATACATTCTTTAGTAGCTTCGCAAGGAAGGGGATGTGAGAGAAATCTTTAAGACCCTGTCTTAAAAATGCCTTTATTTTACCCATGCAATTGACCAATGGTTTGGCTGAACAAAAAACAAAAAAAACCCCCAGTATTTAATGTTCCAGTCCTTTAATAGTATTTTGAGCATTTGCATCTACTACCTGGTATGCAAAACTCGGTCCAGAGTAAGGGTCTCTTCCTGTTAGGATCCATTTATAGTCCCCAGGGCTCCTGGCATTGGTCCAATGTCTTCCCCAGTCAGCTCTGTGCAGGGCCTTCTCCTGGGGAATTTTCCCAGTAGCCATCTGCAGTCCCTGTCTCTCTTGTTGACAGAACCATTTTTGTTGGCGTTCTGTGCCTCTCAGGGCACAAGAGGTATATATCTAGGTTTGCCTCATCTCTGGATTACTGCAGCGCCCCCATGTCACTTGTTTCATGGACCC